TACCTGCTTCAAAGAAAACAAAACCCTTATAAGCCTAGTGTTCCCAAATGATGGAGAGAAAGAACCATGCTTTTTTTTTTTTTAATTCAGAATTTTGTTTCAAAATTAGTGTTAACCTAGCTAGGGTATTCATAGTTGATGGCTTATACTAAGCAATGTACACCCTGCTTTGCCTACAACCTATACGAAAAACAAGGCATTATAAACAGTCACAAAAGTTACATTTGTAACTTTGTCTCAAAATGTCTCGAGAACTATTTTGGAAACTCCCCGAGTCCTTTAGTCTTGCTACAAATATTTACTGACCATCCACCGCGTGCCAGGCACTGCACCGGGTACCAGGATGCCACGGTGACCCATCAACAAACGGGTCTCTCTGGCCACAGGAAGGCAGTGCTTGTCAAACGAGCCTGACGATGACAACTTGGGAGCTTGTTTAAAAGTCAAAATCTGCCCTGGCTGGTTCGGCTCAGTGGATGGCGTGTTGGCCTGTGGACTGAAGGGTCCCGGGTTCGATCCCGGTCAGGGGCACATGCCTGGGTTGGGGGTTTGCAGGAGGCAGCCGATCCATGATTCTCATCATTGATGTTTCTCTCTCTCTCTCCCCCTCTCTGAAATCAATGTATTTTTTAAAAAGTCAAAATCTGCTCATTTGCTTTGGAGAGTCCGCGGGCCCGGGGTGAGTCGCGACGCCCGTATTTTCTTCACGAGCCCCTATCTCCCCTCCTCCCGCCCCCGCGGTTCTGAGAACCCAAGGCTCAGGGCCATCCCACCCCATCCAGCAAGATGCCACACCTCCAAAGTCCATTTCGCTCAGCATCCCTCACCCGAACCGATATCCCAAACACACCACGAAGCCGGGGTGAAAGGGAAGCATCCCCGGGTCACTTTGTACCGAGCCACCGACAGACTTGCTTCCTTCCTGGGACGGACAGCTCACTCCCGGAGCTCCCACCCGGGGCGGGCTGCACCTGAGCCTCCCGCGGCTGCGCGAACACCTGTCTCCCCGCGGCTGCCGTCCACCTCTCCGGCGGGCTTAGTTTAGGGGCCCGCCGCCCCGCAAGAACGGAGGAAAGGCGGGGACGCCGGCGGCCATTTAGGCCGCCGACTGTATACCGGGGCCCCCAAGCCCGGGGGCGCGCGCACCGACCTCCCCGCAAAAAAGGGAGGCGGACAGGGCGACAGGCCAGTCCCCCGCCGCCCCGCGGGTGCAAAGGCGGGGGCTTCGAACCCCGTCCGAAGGGGCCGGGGTTCCGGCCTCGGGGGGCCCTCCGTCCCCCCGCCCAAAGGCCCGGGCCGGGGTTCCCCCCCGAAGGGAGTTTTCACAAAAAAAAAGGTTTTCCCCGGGCCCGGGGCCCCCTTTAAGGAAATTTAAACGGGGGGCCGGGGGGGAAAATTCCCGGGTTCCCCGGCCGCCCCTTCCGGGTCCCGGGGCCCGGAAAACCCGGCCCCCCGGGGTTTGGTTTCAAACCCCCGGCGGGGGGAAAATGTCTTCCCATTTCCCCCAAGGGGGGCCCCGGGG